CGATCCCGGGACTCCAGGATCATGACCTGAGCCGAAGGCAGTCGCTTAACCAACTGAGCCACCCAGGCGCCCAATAAATAAAATCTTTAAAAAAAGAAGTTTATATACTGTACAGAAAAATATAATGTGGGACAATAATACATAAAAGGTGGGAGGGAAGAATTGAGTATACTGTTGTAAGGTTTCTTTCACTATATGCAAAGTAGCATGATATTTGAAATCAGGTTGAGATTAATGAAAGATGCATATTGTAAACCTTAAGGCAAGGATTGGCAAACTATGCCTATGGACCAAATCTGTCCCACTGCTGTTTTTGTACAACTGGTAAACCAAGAATGTTTTTACATTTTTTACATGGCTGAGAAAAATCAAAAGAAGAGTTATATTTCATGATACATGAAAATATATGAAATTCAAATTTCAGTGTCCATAAAGAAAATGTTATTGGGATATACTCTCATTTACAGATTGTCTATGGCGGCTTTTGTGCTCCAGTAAGAGAATCAACTAGTTCTGGCAGAGACAGATTGGTCTGCAAAGCCAATAGTATTTACTATCTGGCTGTCTACAGAAAATCTTTGACAACTTCTGCTGTAGGAATCCACGAAACAAATATTCTGGATTTAGTGTTTTAGCACAGGGAATTAATAGGACCCTAGCAGTTTGGTTGGTTGAGTGAAACAGACCCACAGGAGTCCCAGACTAAAGGAAGTTGAAATGCCAGAGGTGCCTTGATATGCTACAGAGGAAAGTATCCAGAGGCTTAGGGAGATCGGACCACCAGGATGGATTTGTCATGGAAGGCCCACTTACCCACCATGGGAGGGTCCAGAGGACATCCCTTTCACCATTGTGGCAAATACGTTTGTGAGAGGAGCCCCAGCAGCTATGGTCTCTTTTCTCTTTGGGTCAGAAATTGCAGTGGGAATTTCTACTACTGAACTTGGATCTCTGAACATGGGGATAGGGACGCCTGGGTGGCTCAGTCGGTTAAGCGTCTGCCTCGGGCTCAGGTCATGATCCCGGGGTCCTGGGATTGAGTCCTGCATCAGGCTCCTTGCTCAGCGGGGTGCCTGCTTATCCCTCGGCCTGCCACTCCCCTTGCTTGTGCTTTTTCTCTCTCACAAATAAATAAAATCTTTTTTTTTTAAATAAGTAATTGGGGAGAATGAGATCCTGGAATGGCAGGGGTCAAGCGGTGGTATTTACTTACCAAAGACAATGTGTACCATGGTTACTGGTATGGACAGCAGTGCCAGAGAACCATTCAGAACAGTCTGATTTACAGAGACGTCTGCGTTGGCTAGTTGATCACAGTGTCCCTAGAAGAGAAGAAGGTGGGCCATCTACAAAATCCTTACTTGATCTGTACAAGCAGATTTCCAGGTTGAATAAACAAATCTATTTGAATCACCAAAACAGAGAGTCATGGCCTCTCGATCAATTCGTAGTCTTGAACCAGTTTACAGATCCAGAACCCCTTGAATAAAGGGGAGGATGGTGTCCCTTGAAGGAGGATCTGCTAGATTGCCAAAAATTTATACCAGTGATCTTTCTCCTACCCTTCCGCAAAGGGACCTATGGAGGTTTGCCAGACTGACTGTGAACTGGGGGAGAGGAAATAATCAGTCTTTCCAGAGATTCCCGGACACTGGCTCTGAACTGATCCAAAATGTCACTGGGGTCCATGAGTCAGACTCAGGACCATGGAGGTCAGGTGATCAATGGATTGTTAGCTCAGGTCTGACTCATAGTGTGCCCAGTGGTTGCTCAGATCCATCCTGGGGCTATTTTCTTAGTTCTGGAATGCATAACCAGAATAGACATACTCAGCAGCAGGCAGAATCCCCACCTCCTAATACCATCACGGTGGGAGTTAGGATGGCAACATATGAATTTTGGGGGATTTAGACATTCAGTCCATACCATCCTGGGACCTGGTATGCAGCTGTTGATCTGGCAAATGCTTTTTTCTCAATACACGATAGTAAAGAGCACAGGAAGCAGTTTTCTTCCAGCTGGCAGCAATATATCTCCACTGTCCCTCTTCCCATGCATCTCAACTCTCCAGGCCAATGTCATGATTTAGTCCCCAGGGGTCTTGATTGCCTTTTTTCCCCTCAAGACATCATGCTGATCCATTATTGATATTAGGCTGATTGGCCCCAGTGAACAGGACTTCACAGCTACTCTAGACATTGGTTAAGACATTTGTGATTTGTGCATCAGGGGCACCTGGCTGGCTCAGTCGGTAGAGCCTGTGACTCTTGATCTCAAGGTTATGAGTTCAAGCCCCACGTTGGGTGTGGAGATTACTTAAAAATAAAATCTTAAAAAAAAAAAAAAAGATATTTGTGCATCAGAGGGTGGGGGAGATAAATCCCACAGAAATCAGTCTTGCACCTCAGTGAAATTCCCAGGGGTCCCAGTAGTGTGGACTTGTCAAGATAAGCCTTCTAAAGTAAAAGACAAATTATTGCATCTGGCCCATCCTATAACCAAAAAAATGGATAGCACCTAGCAGGTCTTTTATGGATTTTGGAAGCAACATATCCCTCATTTAGGTATGCTACTCAGGGCCATTTACCATGTGACCTGATAAACTGTTAGTCTTGAGTGGGGCCCAGAACAAGAGAAGGCTCTGCAACAGGTCTAGGCTATGGAGCATGCTGCTCAGCTGCTCAGGTCATGTGATCGAGCAGATCCCAGGGTGCTTTTAGTGTCACTGGCAGAGAGAGATGGAGCCTTTGTCGGGTCCCTTAGCACAGACCCTTAGGATTTTGGAACAAAGCCCTTCCACCCTCGGTGGATATCTACTCCTTTTTTGAGAAACAACTTTTGGCTTGCTATTGGGCATGTGACCATGGGCCCCCAAGTTATCATGCGATCTGAGCTGCCCATCATGGACAGGGTGTTGTCTGACCCACAAAGCCACAAAAATGGGCAGTACACTCATCATCAAATGGCACTGGTATAGGGGCGCCTGCGTGGCTTAGTCACTTGGGCATCTGACTCTTGATTTCAGCTCGGTTCATGATCTCAGGGTCACGGGATTGGGCCCCTCGTTGGACCCTGCGCTCAGCACAGAGTCTGCTTGTCCCTCTCCCTCTGCTCCTCCCCCTGCCCGCTCACTCTCTCTCTTTCCAATAAATAGATAAATACAATCTTTTAAAAAAAATGGGATTGGGGCGCCTGGGTGGCTCGGTTGGTTAAGCGACTGCCTTCGGCTCAGGTCATGATCCTGGAGTCCCGGGATCGAGTTCCGCATCGGGCTCCCCGCTCAGCGGGGAGTCTGCTTCTCCTGCTGACCCTCCCCCCTCTCATGCTCTCTCTATCTCATTCTCTCTCAAATAAATGAATAAAAATCTTTAAAAAAAAAATGGGACTGGTATATTTGAGATTGGGCTTACGGAAGCCCTGAACACACAAGTAATTGCATGAGGAAGTGGCCCATGTGCCCATGACTCCTACTCCCACTACATTACCTCCTCTCTCCAAGCCCGCACTTACGGCCTTCTGGAGTGTTCTCTGCACCACGTTGACAGAGGAAGAGAAAACCTAGGCCTGAGTTATAGATCGTTCTGCACAAAGTGGGCATGTACAGCATGATAGCCCCTTTCTGGGACGTTCCCTGAAGAGCAGTGGTGAAGGGAAATCCTCCCCCTGGGCAGAACTTCAAGCGGCACACCTCATTGTTCATTTTGCCTAGAAGATAAACTGTACAGAGGCCTGATCTATAGTGATTCAGAGGCTCTGCCCAACAGTTACCTGGATGGGAAGGGACTTGAGAAGAACATGATTGGAAACTGGTGACAAGGAGTCTAGGGAAGAAGTATATGGACAGACTTCCCTGAATGGGCAAAGAATCTGAAGCTATTTGTGTCCATGTGAATGCTCACCATTGTCTGTTTTAGGTAGGGGACTGATGCATCATTGGGTGCGTAGATCTTTGTCACTGTTCTATCTTCATTGTGAAATGAGGCTTTTGGCATTCTAACATGTCTTTCTTTGTCTCATTAAATGTTTTATTTTAGTTGAATTCTGGTATCAGGGCTACAGACCCTGCTTTTTTGTTTCCATTTGTCTCATAAATCCGTATCCATCCCTTCATTATTCACATTTTTGAATCACTGTATTTTGGTAGTGTCTCTATGATATACACCATAGAACTGGGTTTTACTTATGAGTCATTTTTTTTTTTTTTAAAGGCTCTATGTCCAACGTGGGGTTTGAACTCAGGACCCTGAGATGAAGAGTCGCATGCTCTACCGACTGAGTCAGCCAGGTGCCCCTTTATGAGCTAATTTGAAAATAACTTTCAGGGAGACCTGGCTGTCTGGGTTGGTAGAGCGTTCGACTCTTGATCTCTGGGTTGCGAGTTCAAACCCCACATTGCGTATAGAGATTACTTAAAATCTTTAAAAATAATAATAATAATTTTCTTTTAGTAAGTGAGTCAAACCTATTCAGTTACTGGGTTTTTGTTTGTTTGTTTATTTAAGTAATCTCTACACCTAACGTGGGGCTCCAACACACAACCCCAAGATCAAGAGTCTCATGCCCCACCGACTGAGCCAGCCAGGCACCTCTATACCCCAAATGTTTTCATCATCCCCGACAACGACTCTAAACCCATTAAACAATGACGGCCTCTTTCCCCTCCTCCAGCCCCCGGTAATCTCTATTCTAGTTTCTGTCTGTGATTTTGCCTGTTCTAGGCACCTCATACAACACAGCTTTTTTTTTTTTAAAGTCTGATGTTAGTCTAATTCTGTTGCCTTTATAACTTTATTTCACATCTTTGCCTGGAGTCCCTGATTTTCTGTTTAAAGTGCAATAACTTTACTTGGATATATTTTAGGATTGATGACTCAATGTCAGTTTCATACAGTGGCTGGTGAGCCCTTTTGATGTGTATGTGGATCCAGACCTTTTATTTCTGGAAAGTCTGCTTGGATTACAGTCTGAGACATTAACTCTTCACCATTTTTATCTCTTTATCTAGCTTTCATTCTCTTGGTTTCTTCCCTGCTTT